TGACGTTAATGTCCGTTTGCTGTTCGTTTATCTATACGAAACGTGATGAACTAGAAAACATCAGTAATCACTGTATAACAATAGACAACAAGGGTTTACATGTGCGTTCACAAAAGATAGATGACGGCATGCTCTACCAAGTAATTATTATAGCCTAAAGAGTTTCAAGAAGGTCAAATGGCCTGTAAAACATAACCAGATTCTCTTGCAAGACATGCACTTCCGAATAAAGACCTTTTTACTCTTTATTTTTTTAAAGTACTGTCATAAAATTCTTATGTCATATCTTGACTCAATGATAAACTTGATGCAAAATATGACAGTATGAAAAGAAAAAACACAAAAAAAGATGCATGGTAGTGGAATTTCGTCCGAGATAGATAGTTTTAATGGAAGGAAATCATTTTCGTAGCAAGTGCTAAACAAAAACTGCAATATATACTATGAATATCGGGAAGCTTAGGTTTCAAATGAGAACTTCAAAAAATATCAAAAACTTATTTTAATGCATTTCAAGACAAAATAATACAGAACGATTTCAAACATCGTATTACATTTATACATATATTCTAGAACCTGTTAGAGAGACATGGCTGAAGCTCGTTGAATATCTTCCATTGACCTGAAGTATTTCTGTCGTTTCGTTTTTTTTTGTAGTAAACTCCATATTATCAATGAGCTCAATCACATGTTACAACTAGATTTGTACCAAACATAAACGTCTGGCCTTGGTGAATTTACTTTTATCTTTATTAATTCAGATTTCGGCACTTTTTTCCATCCTCATCCGTACATTTTCAAAATATTATCTGATGTATCAATAAAAAAACAAGGAACTGTATCTTTTATGTAATCATTTATGTAGTTAAGACTGTTAATTGTCATTAGTGATTATGCGACTTTCTAGAAACTTTCGATTAGCAAGTATGTTTTAATTTGTCTCTCTTATATGTCAAATTCTAGTTCTTCTGAGTTGTATGTCCAACTAATGAATTACCAGCATACAATTTTTCTAAACATATTTGAAATGCAAGAATATATTTTTGATACTGTAATCAAAGCGGGAGCTTGTCCTCAAAAAAGTCTTGAGATTTTACCTGTGGGTAATTCACACGTTAAGATGAATATTGAATGAAAATTATAAACATGAGACACTAATTTGCACTCTTATTATTTTTTTGTCTACAAGACTCAACAGTTGGAAACACTCTATTGATGATACTCTGCTTCAGGACTTTGAAAAACAATTGGTTCGTAGCAGATTTATATAGTACATGTTTAATAACTGTATCAAGTGGATGAAAAAAATTGTTCTTTCATTTTTGCTAGAGAACATTATAATAGAATAACTATTTTTTATTATGCTAATTGGTAGTTGTCAAAAGCTGAAACGTTCATTTACTAGGAATCTCTCAGGTAAAGGGGGTTGGATAAGCATATCTAATCAATATGAAGTACAAATATATGTATATAAAATATTAAGTTAATAGCTGCAATCACTAAAAGAATTGCTCTTGACCGCTCGATTCTGTTTACTGAACACCAAAGCCACACTCAATAAATAGAAATATAAAAGCTCGCTCCTTGTTGGTGTTATGACTTTTCAGAGAGAAGTATTAGTGCAAAAGTTCTATAGAAAAGCAGTATGTTTCAAGAAACCCGAGAAAAACCTCTCCTAAACATGAATATACTCAAGATATCAACATTACAAACTCAAATCTTTATTATTCGAATCCACATAAGAAACAAAGCGATTTGTAATGACAGATTAGAAATGACTGAGATTAGTTTCAGATACAAAGCTCTAATAAAAATTGTAACAAAAATTGTTGGTCTGCGCTTATATAGTATTAGTCTCAATTCAAAATAAAATCATTCTGGCTATTGTATGTTTGATAAGAAAATGGTAATCTCTGACTCTAATAATGTTTTAGTGTGACCTCAAACTCTAGTTAATCGCTAAAAATAAATTTCGATCGCTTAGCCTTTTAGTTTTGGTTTACACTGTTGACGAGAGCACTATTCCAACTTTGATCTGTTTCGTTGTTTGCTAATCTAGGCTTCAAATTTCATAATACTATTACCCGAAGCTTGCGATTTCTCATACAATATTTTTAGATTACAGTGTATAATTCTTAGAGTATGTGTTCTAGTGCGAAAGAAAGTATGTAAAAAAGTTATATGGAATATAAAATTCTTCAGGTCAAATTCTGAAACTTAAGCTTACATGAACTGATAAAAGGTGAAATCATAAACAAAAAGTCTTACATTCAATAGATTTAAAACATCGTTAGAAGATGTAGTATGTACGTTGAGTGAATACAATAAGTTGAAAACAGTGTTATGAGAGAAATAAGTATTAGATGAATTTTTTACGTATAAACAGTATTTTATATATATACACACAGGGAATTCTCAGTCATTCTAACAACCATTTTCAACGATGAAACTGTTGATGAAAAGAACAGCACAAAAAACACGAAATGCGTTGGAGAGGAATACAACAGTAATACAAATAGGAGATGAAATATGTGTTTAATATAAAAACCAAAGAGATATAGATGAAAAACCTTCATAAGACATATTTGTATGTATAGATATGTGATATTCTGAATATATTGATAAATATATAAAGACTTAACTTCATGAGTCAACATTAGCATTATGACAACATGTAATATAATCATATAATAGTAAACTTAACATCATAATCAATATGCAGGTGTGGATTTGGATATCCAGAACACCTACAGATTGATACTCACACCCATACCCACACACACACCCTCAAATGTTGGTGAGGGAGAATGGATTTAAAATTTAGTTGTGTCAACTTTTGAGTTCAATTGTGCCAATCGATAGTCAACATATGGGTTGGTCACATTCGTTTGTTTTGTATGTCTGTAAAAAGTTTCGTTATGCTCGTAAGTAGACAAAGTTGGCAAACATTGACCTTCAATCTTTTCTGACGAGTTTATATGAACAGGACTAATTTCTAATTCCGTCTCTTTTATTTTAATGACAGTGTCTGACGTTACCAAAAACTTCGAAGATCCATTTTCAACCGTACTTATATCGTACTTTTGTGAGTGAGCATTATGAATAAATAATTGTATGATAGGCTTGCAAATTAGTCTAATGATAAGATATGCTATTGCGAATAATTCAATGATAAGAGTACAGAAAAGCAATGTATGAAAGGCAAGTTCAGCGACACGAATAATCGGATATTGATTATTTTGCAGAAAAAATGGTTGTTCACTGAATATGAAAGTCAATGTCGTTCGTTGTGAAACATAACGAAGATAGTATCCGTCTTGCTCGTAGATCATGCCGTCCGAAAGTGAACTTTCTCCAAATGTTAATGTCCAACGGCCATCGTAGCGTGATTGATCACCAACTTTTAGTGGTTTGGTTTGATTGACAACTTTGATGAGCACGACAGAGAGTGTTGCAACACGCGAAAGTGTCTGATTTGGTGTCCAGAAAAATTGACATGTGTCAAGCGTATGCACTGTATTCACACCATCAACATCACGAGGACCGCGAAGACACAGACGGAATCCACCAACAAAGTAAGGTCCAGTAATATTGAGTTGCAGATTTACGCGATGTGCTGGTAATAAGACACTGACAGATCGTGTAATGTTGTCCGGTTGAAGAATACAATCATTTTCAGCGATGGGCATATTTAAATACTTGACGCCGGGTCTGTTCTGCTGAACAGTAATATCTGAACAACTGGCTCTTGTATTAACTAGATCGACAGTCATTGTAAAGGGTTGTTTATCAAGCATCTCGAAAATAGACCATCGTCTTCCATCTGGATTTGGCAGTGGTAGCTGTAGAGCACTGTCGAACAGAGCATTACGCATTGTCTTTTCACAAGAGGCATGCATTTCGTTTGACGTTTCAATTGGATACAATTTAAGATAATCAGTTGAGAACCAGAAAACAAAGGCGAAGATGACAGAAATAGCTAATGAAAATAGCCCACCTATCCATCGTTCACCATCGTTTACAATGTTTATGTATCTGAAAAAGTTTTTGATTTGATTTCGACGAAGATTTGCTTTTTGACATTTATCCATTTTCAATGCAAGCATTATGAGCCAAATAATGAGACAGAAGATGATAGCTAGAATTGTCCAAAATCCAGGTGCGATGATGAGACAACGAGCCGAACGACCAATGCTGAACATATTTTGCACAAGAATATCATCATAGTTGTTCATATCGGGTGAATCTGGATAGGTGAATGTCTGTGTATATGATGGATATGTATCAAGAGAAAGAGTATCATCAACAGAACCCATGGGACAGAATGCAGTAGGTAAACAGGGACTACACTGAAAACATGGATGATCCATTGGATTCTTAGTTTGCGGTGGGCACACAAAACACGGTCCTGCGCTGGAAAAGTTTCTATACGTACCAGCTACACATGGTGCTTCTTTAAAGACTAATGTGCGATATGGATTTTCAGTTCCTACAGAACAGAGACCAGGCGCTCTCGACAATACTAGTATTGCTCGAGCTTGATCGGTCAATAAATACAAGTTTCCCGACCAGGAAAGCATATGAAGGAAAAGAGGCGACGATGACATCGGTATTCTTTGTTGATTGTTTGGAAAGACAAAAAGAGGTATATTGAATGGACTATTTACATCGAATACCCATACTTCAGATTTAGACCAAGATCGATCGGGAACGTTGAAAACAGAAATTGCTACTGTTTCATTATTAAGCCACGCTACTGCACGACCAAAACCAATGCTACGTTGAGATGATTGGTCAATACGAATCAAAGAGAGCTGTAAATTGCCATCTGTTGAGTTAGAAGAGCGGATATTGAACAGAAAGACTCGGTCAAGTAGTGGTAAACCAACAATGACCATTTTACGTGTCGCACTGATAGCTACTGACATGTCATTAGCTTGATTGTAGTCTGTAGCATCATGTAACTTGAGCACATTACTGTGATTCAGATAGGCAGTGCTCATGTAATGAAATGGATGAAGGTTGAAGAGCATAGCAGTATAAAGAGGTACAAGTTTTGGAAAGGGCGTAAGTAAAAATCCGATACTAATTGCCCAGGAATCAGTAACATCTAATGCGTGTGGTATCATAGGACTAGACATAAACCAATTACTATTATTAATGAGTTGATCAATTCTGTTATTAATAATATCGAACGAAAGAATGAACTTATCAGCAAATACGTATGCGTATTGTTGAGATGGACTAACTTTAAGCAACATGTATTGTTGGTGTGTTCCAGACCAAATGTGCGTATGACTAGTATTTAAAACGATTTCTGTCGATGTTTCTAACAAAGAATATCAAATAAAAAGCTATCATATATTGACTATTAATCTCTTTTTCATTGAGTACATAACTAGTATATTACAGGTTGAATATGTTAAGTCTTACAAAATAATTGGCCAACAAATTATGTTAGTTTCTTTCGATTTCAGTTTTATTCGTGAATAACTTAATACTTTCACCAATTATTTTAGTGTTCCTCACACTGAAGACACACATATACTATATAGCGTTAAGTTGAGGACAAAGAAAATCCATAATGAACAGAAGAAAACATTTGAGTACGAGAAAGTACTTTAGGAATAAAATGAGACTAAAATGACTTGGAATCGAATTAGAGTATTGTTTCGATTCTTCTGAATCATGTTAGAGTAACCGTGAATATTTCAGTCGAGTTGCTTTTCGTATACACTTCATGCATTAAATTTCTCTATCTCGTACAGTCTACTTGTCTGTACAAAGCATATCAGCACATATATTCGAACGTGTGGAAATTACATCACGAATCTTCGGATGTTTAAAAACAGAGATATTCATTAAGTAACCTTATACGATTAGTAGAGGTCAAAAAGCATTAGATTGATACTAGACATACCACAGAGTGTTTTGTTTACTACCATGATGCTGAAGAATACATCCGACGTATTGGTATCTTCTGCTATTTGTACAATTCTGTACAGATCATAAGTGTCAGTGCCATCGTTAAATAACATGGCTGCACTATAGACATAGGCGTTGATATTTGAATAATAAGCAGTGCACGGAGGATAAATTGTGAACGGAGCAAAACTAATGGTGTAGGAATAGTGATCATTGTATGCAAAGATGACAAACTGATCATTGCCTGAAATACGTATACCATGTGCACCATCATCGTCATATTCATAGAGATGTTGGCACTCGACGAGCATCAATGACAGCAACACTATCGACATAGCCCATGAAACACCTAAAGTCTTTTGCATCTCTCAACGTTGAGTCTAAATACATAACAAGTTGCTCGTTAAGTATCCAAGAATGAATAATTTCAATAGAATCGATAGACACTCTCGCTCATAAAGTAATCCCAGTAGCAATCATCTTCTTCAAGGTCAACTAACCCGATCATTGAGCATTGTCGGATTATGTCAGAAATAGTTGGATTCTGACTTCAGTCAATCGGTCTCTATCAGACTGAGTACAGAGCTCAGTAACTCGAAATCTGGTGGACATTTAAGTGAGAGAGGATCTTATCAGATCTGAAACGTTTCAATGAATGGATACGGCAAGATCTTACCGAGTTCTACAGCGCATATTAAGAGTTTCGGAAAGATCACATCGGATCTCAATAAAAAAAGGGTGCTTTAGTGTTACTTGCTTTTCTTTTCGTCATCATTTATTATATATACAGGAAAGAATTAGATTTATGACGCCAATACCAATTATCTACTACCTACCATCATTATTCTTTAATAAGAACTAAACATGAAATAAACTCAGATATGCTATTATAATGCAGTAAAATGATATGATCAACACGTAAGAAAAGAAAACGTTGCATATATAATTTAAGTGAAAAGATATGAGAAGAAAGCGAGTGAAATAAGATAGAAAATAATCATCGAAAACTGATACATAGCAAACGAAACGTGATACAAAAGAAAACATGTCAAACGCAAGTAACAAAATAAAAGCATCACAATTACATTAGCTTATTGATATTGTTAACATTAACAACTCTTTTTTTACAGAGTCAAGCATTATGATCACCAAAAATGATCACATAAGAGCAGTTGTGAGGTTGCAAACGAACGTCATCAACTGAAATACAGTCGTATACGGGTGTAGTTGTGGAAACCTCTTCGATGACCTACATCCACACTCCTTGTCGATAAAGCGTTCTGTTAGTACAATTTTTGTTGGATTAAATTGTGAAACATAATTCATTTAAGATACTGTGTGGGTTTTTGGAGGGCAGACATTAATAGAATACAAATTACACTCTCCAGTTGAATACGAAATCAGAATTAAAAAAATATTCCTCGTTTCAAATCAATATTTTATATTTATATATCTGATATCTTGGAGTTTGTTTTAAATGATGACATCATAGACTTCACCGAAAAAGATATGCCCATGGTAGAAACTATTAAGATCTAATTTGGTTCATGAAAATGAAAGTTGAATCCAGTGATAGAAAGAATTGCAACATGAAACACTCGAAACCTATCCCAAGATATTCTATGTCATGAAAAGCTAAACATTCATTCAGATGCTTACCATACTCGGTTAAAAATTGCACAAACCGAAAACACAAACAGTTGGCGATCCATAATTTTTAACAGCCCAAAAGAAGAGAGATTGGGGCGTACTTTTCTCCGATATTGTGTGAGACAAAATCTATTTAAAAACAATCATCTGTGGAAAACATTCGAAAAAATGCATGAAAATGGTCCGCCATTCCGGTATAATTTTGAAAAAAGTAAGAAAATTTAGTTGAAAATCAACGCTGTTTTCCAGTATTTGAGTAAGCCAATAAATAACTTCATGTGTTCAGCGTTAGAACGTGAGAAGACAATTATTCACATTGTGTCTTTAACTATATATCTGAAGTTCCTCTATCTAAATTATATGTCAAAATCAAAATTTCATTAGAACTGCACACCATTTTCATGTATTTTTTTGAATGTTCTTCGAAGATAAGTAGTTTCAAAAGGGTGTGGGTTTTACACATAATCAGAAGGAAAAGATGTCTCGATGCTTTTTATTTCGATTGCTGAAAAGCGCAGATCGTTAGCTGTATACGTTCTCGACTTATTCAATTTTAACCGAGTATCTTTAAGTCTTGAGTCGACATTATTACTGTGATAAGTGTACGATTTTTAATGGAAAAAAAAACTTTTCAGCGTAAAAATTATTGATAAGATCAATTCGAGTGCATTAAGTGTGTAATCGTGCTATTCATATTCAAAGAAAAATGTCTTTATTCAACGGATACGATTGCTTATAATAATAACGCTATGTTAATGTTCATTCACCTATTCACAACTATTAATACACAACATACTCTTTATAAACTGTTTAGGCGTGAGTAAAATCACGCTAGTTTTAACTAACAAACCCACCATCCATAATATAGAGTATCTTGCATTGTAATAATGATTATTGGATATCTATTTCACTACTCTCTATTACGTAATCATCTCCATTGTAACCACGAAACATATCGGAAGAATATTTTGTTTAGGTCAATCAACTCTATGTAACTTTCACCGAGCAAAGCATAATCAAAATGAACTAAGAGAAAGCTATTGAAAAAGAACATTTGTGCTCCACAAAAACGGTAAGATGAAAAACCAAGGAACTTTTCTCGTAAGGTACTACTCAAGTCATTTATGAATGGCATCAACGAGATGAAATAAAACATTTAAGATAGTATCATCAAGGAAAAATTTAAATTGGTTTGATTTCAAACTTCGATAGCATATTTCTGCTCAAATGTCCTGCAATTGAAAAAGCAAGAATTATTATTAGTGATGACACTGAGAAACAACCCGATGCTGGTTACCACTGTAATGCATCAGTGGAAGACGAAAAAGTTTCAAAACTTGATCATTTCAGGTGCGCCAGAAAGAATGAGTAAATTTTTATACGAAGTTCTTTACATGTGCTCCCAATAGTTGATTTTCTTCTAAAGATTCGCTATAAAGTGTTGGATAAAATCGTTTCAACTATTTTATTTCGAACATGAAGATTAAAAGCCGCAAAAAACTCAAAAAGACAATAATTTTTTCAATTTTCGAAACAAATGCTGACGTTTTTTTCAGTTTCAATATGTTGCATGCTACGATATGAGTATGTAACTATTTACTTTGTATTCACTAAAAGATAACTTTTCAAGCGAAGGTTTCAATAGTGGTAAAACAAAATCTTTATAGCTGTCATAAAACAGTGCATTTTGAACTCGACTATGTTTATTTGCAGCGACATAGAATGCCAGTTCTATTTAATCAGAAGACGTTCAGTAGTCTTCTCATATTTAGTAGCGTTATTACATTTAATCGACTGAATCCAAGGGTAAAATTGCATATTCCATTCAGTTTAATTCATAAAAAAATCGATAACATCAGACATTTGATTTGCACATATCTTAAGCAAGCTAAAATGTGATTTAGAAAGTTGAAGGCTTTGCTCTTTCATATTTTGTGGCCTATCTTTCAATTTTTCTTTACATGAAGTATTTTCAATAGTTTTGCAAAAAGTTTTGCTGCAAGCCTTTTCTTATGAATTTAGGAAGCATTGTTAAGATTATACATAAAATAATTTCTTATAAAAAATAGCCCATTTCTTCTGAATCACTGAATAAAACTGCTGCAATTTAGTAACAGTTATATAAATATCAGTGTTACTATGGAGTACTATATCATTGTACTTCATGGTAGTGTTTTTTTTATATTTCAGCTTCTGATTGGTTTGCATTTCGACGAGTAGTAATTTTTCACTCGTCGTAGCTAGTGGTCGTGTTGTTGTAGCTTCACACAGATGATCAGATAACGGCCTATGGATAGCTGCATATATATTGATTTAAATCATTTTGACGAAGAATGACTTTTTTTGAGAGAGGATGGCCTTAACAGTGAGTAACTATTTGTACAAAGATAGAGCGTCATCAACAGAACGAGAAAAAAATATTGCTTTGGCATATAAATATACGTATTTATGTCTCTCTTTGCATCCGTTCTGTTTCTACTTGTATCACATGGCCATTGACGATGAATATGAAATTGTTCTAATCAAGAATGAAATAGATGCTCGTTTATGCGCTAAACTAATAGCGGATGAATTCGCTTTGCATAATTCTCTATCAGTTTTTATTCAATCAACACCTGAAAAATTATTTGATGAATGCTTTTGGCCATTTATGATCAATGTACTTGATGAAAAGTTATCATTTCTTATGCGACATCGTCCAACGAATGAAATTGCTGCAGTAGTCATAGCCAACGACCTCTTTTTAGAATGTAAAAATCATCCATACGACATTTCTAGTCCTGCATCATCGATTCCAAACATAGATTTATTTTCAGAAATGCTTGCTCAATTTGTTAATCATGATTATGATCAAGAATTGAAACCGAATATAATTTTATCTGTTTCAGTTGTTGTAACAAAATCTAAACACTCAGGTAAAAGTTTAGCTGCTCATTTAAGTGCTCATACATGTAATTATGCACGATATACAAAAGGATTTCAATATGCATTAGTACAAACATCAAATCCAGCAACGCGTAATATCTATGTTAAAAAAATGAATGGAAAAGAAATAATGATTGTTGATCCAGCAACTTGGTTATGGAAAAAGAAAGATGATGGCTTATCACGACCATTTAAAGATTATAAAGGCGAGCCTGTTGTCAATATTTTTGTTAAATTGAATGAACGAACAGAACTAATATAGATGAAGATTAGCTTTGTTTTTTGAAATAAACCATATTCAAAAATTTTATTCAATAAATAATAAATTAGAATACATGATGGGCTACTGACAAAAAAAAACTGTTTTTATTTTTAAATATTCTTTATTGACTAGTTTGAAGTGTAAAGAAAGAGAGCTTATGTTGATTGAATTCATCGTCTATGTTTTAATAAACAGCTTTACGCCTGATCAAAGAATGCACATCTCAACTCCTTATTATTCATAAAGGAATGGTATAGGTGTGTAGGGATGGTTACGAGTTTAGAGAACACGCAAAGCCACACCTTTGCAGACTCGTTGTTTCAAGAAACACTTCCAGCCATGTATGTTAAGATGTAGGGTCGTGAGACAGAGGAAGTCTGTATGGCAACGAGAAATATATTCTTTAGATGAAGACTATCAGTAAGATGCTTCGAGTGATGATTTAGACTCGCTCGACTATATTTAATTTGAGGCATGAATAACTACTACTTGTTTTACTGGAACATCATCTGTTCGAATCTATCATTTCTTCGGTTCACGTAAGAATAGTTAGCACAAGAGTCGATATTTCTTCTTCAGATTTGCTCTGTTAACTGTGGTATGCTTGCAGTTGTATGGCTTTCGAAATATTCTTAGCCTGAGTTTCTGTGAAAATATGAGCAATTTAGCATAAACAAAAGATTAAATAATGGAATT